ACTATTCAACAAATGATATCTAGGTATTTTAGAGAAGCAGTCACCGCCTTTTTTTCAAAAAGATATGATTTTCAGCCCTAATTTGGAGAATTCGTTAATCTAGGGCCGTATTATTTGGGATCGAAGTAAATCCGATCAATTAGGGAATGAAGAGGATGCGTAATCTTAAGAAGTGAGAGGAAAATACGCTGATAATCAAGGCCCAACCAAAAATCCAGTATAATTGAATTTAATAAGCCAAATAAACCCCATAAAGTAATTTATTAAATAAATGACAGTTGTATCCCGAAAATGAGCGGGAAAAAAAACCCTAGGGTTTCACCAGAGCAACCTTACTTTTATTAATAAGATACCTTCAATAATATAATTCTTATCAATTCCACCCATTATGCCCTAACTTCCTTAACATTGACCCCGGATTTAAACAAATATATCACATTAACCCCCAAAACTTTTTTTTTTCAGAAAATAATTTTTTTTTTGAATTTTTTTTTCCGGCCAGTTTCCGGCGTTGACTTTTTTTTTTTTTTTTGAAAACTTTTTTTTTTCCTGAAATTTTTTTCCGGCCGGTCAACCGCCGGTCTCCGGCGTTGACTTCTTTTTTTTTTTTTTTTGAATTTTTTTTCTTAGAAAAAAATATATTTTAATTTATATTACTCTTTGGGACAGTAATATTATGAATATTATTTTCCCGAACAGTAATATTATTAATATTATTGTCTAAGATAGTTAAATTACTGTTGGAGACAGTAATTTAGCATCCAAGGCAGTAATAGTAATAAAAATAATTTTTTTTAAGAAAAAAAAAAAAATTAAAAAGTCAATTAACAGTTAAATTACTGTCTCCGACAGTTAAATAACTGCTGGAGACAGTAATTTAGCAACGAATACAGTAATATTAATTAAAAATATTTTTTTAAGAATAAAAAAAAGTCAATTAACAGTTAAATTACTGTCTCCAACAATTAAATAACTGATGGAGACAGTAATTTAGCAACGAGTACAGTAATATTAATTATAATATTTTTGAAGAAAAAAAAAAGTCAATTAATAGTGAAATTACTGTCTCCGACAGTTAAATAACTGCCGGAGACAGTAATTTAGCAGCCAAGACAGTAATATTAATTAAAATATTTTTTTAAGAAAAAACAAAATTATAAAAAAAAAAAAAAAAAAGTCAACGCCGGAGACCCGGCGGTCAACGGCAGTTGACCGGTCGGAAAAAGATTTCAGGAAAAAAAAAAAAAAGTCAACGCCGGAGACCGCCGGTCTCCGGCTGTCAACGCCGGTCAACGGCGGCGACCGGCGGTCTCCGGTGGTGGCGGGTCAAAATTGGGGTCAAAATTGAAATTATGGTTAAAATTGGTTAATTGATGAAATTGGGCTAAATTGGGGTGTAAATCATGAACTTGGAGTTGAATTGGGTTTCATTGAATTGGGGGTAATTTTGGTATATATAAAGAGATTTTCCTTATTTGCAAATAAGTTTGAATGGAGTGGATTTATTTGAATGACAAAAAAGTTGGATGTCCTCTTTTAATTAAGTGCCCTTGTCATTGGCCTATTTGCCATTACCCCTTCTTTTTTTCGTTATTGTAATAATTAGTCGCACATTGTCATAGATTATATCCAAATTAATATTAGATGTATAAAATTTAATATATTGAAAAACAAACTTATTCATATGTCTTGAGTTTTTCTTTCTTAATTTTGACAAGTGATTATTGTTCAAGTAGATCACCAAAATGAACCTTGTGTTCATCACGTAAAAGATATTTTACATTGTCGCTTGTAAATACCTTTTTATTTTAACTATGTTATAATACAAAAATCATGTATATATCAATGATATTACTAATATTACAATGTATTTTAATATAATCAAGTTTAATATAACAACACGTAAACTCGTTTCAATTTTTTTGGACAACCTGTAGATATTCTGTATATATACACGTAGTAGTAATTATAAAAATACTTTTCATAAAATTGAGACATTTTAGGTCCTAAAAAAAATTCAAATATTTTACCACATGTACAGTTCTAGAATCCCGTATAGTCACTAAAAATTAATTAAACATATTAAAATGTTATAGTAACAAAATTAAAGTAATTTTTTTCCGGGCGAATTGAATTTAATTTCAGGGGAAGACTTATTGAATATAATTTCAGGGGAAGACTTATTTACACTCCGTTCTAGACCAAAATCAGTCCTACAAAAAAATCACCTTTTATGTCTTACCCAAAATGCCTATCACAATTTAACTTACATCAATTTCATTCATCCTATCCCAACTTAACAAATATTACACAATGACCGCACATTGTAACTAATATATCACATTAACGCTCATTTCACAATTTAAATTATTTTTCTTTTTTTCAGAAAAATATTTTATTTTAATTCACAATGTTACGTTATATTTTGTCAAAGACATACCAAAAATAGAGTACTTCATTAAGTAATAAATTATTTTAAGGGGAAATGAGTGATAACCCCCTATTTTTTAAAATATATATGAGGAGGCCTAGGGGTGGAAATCGGAACGAAATTTCTGATTTCCGCCGAATCCGATCCGAAAAATTCCGATTTTGGAACGGTTTTTTCAATTCTGAATTCCGAAAATTCCGAAAAAAATCGGATCGGAATCGGAAATAGATATCGAAATTTCGGAATTTCCGAATTCCGATCCAAAATTAGTTTCGATTTTTCCGATTTTTTTCCGATTATTTCCGATATTTTCCGATTATTATTAATATTTATTAATTATTATATAGTCAATTTTTTATTTATTTTTATATTTAAATGGTTCAAAACATGTACTGATGTAAACCCTAATTCATTCTCACTCTCACGTTGCGCCGCTGCACCAGCCCTTTACTCTCTCCCGTAAATCGCTCATTCCTCCGTCGAGAACCACCAGCGCCACCCTCATTGTCTCCGCCGAGCACCAGCCGCACCGCCCCTTATTGTCTCCACCGAGCACCACCGCGCCACCCCTTATTGTCTCCACCGAGCACCACCAAGAAAGCAGGGCTTTGTGTTTGTTGTTGATGTTATTAGTATTATTCTACTCTGTGTCTGCCTATATGATGAAGTAGGTCTTTTTTTTATTTTTTTATTATTAATATTACTCATTCAATGATATATTTTGAAAAAAAATAAATTTTTTTGGAAAATCTGAATATTCCGAAATGAAAAATTCCGATTTTCCGAAATTTCCGAAAAAATCGGAATCGGAATCCATTTTTAAAATCCGAAAAAATCGGAATCGGAATCGGAATGGCTAATTGACTTCCGAAAAAAATCGGAAATATTCCGAAAGGCCTAAATCCGATCCGATCCGTCCGATTTCCACCCATAAGGAGGCCCAATAAATATTTCTGCCGTAATTAAAAACCAAAATTCTTATGTTACTTAGTGAGACCCCCCTAGATAACTTGAAGTATCTGTTTTACCCCTTTAATTTTAATTCAATACATAAAACCCTAGGCCCAGCCTTCCACACGTATCAGCCCACCCGTACGACTCCCCCTCTCTCTCTCTCTAACTCTCTCTCTCGACAAACCCTCCGCAGCCAGATCTGCTACCCCACCGCCTGCGCCGCTCGCCACTGATCCCCATCGCCAGTCCGCCACCGTCTTTCGCCGCTGCTTTGCCACCGACGTTCACCGCAGCTCCACCACCGCCGTTCGCCTTGCGCCGCAGCTCCACCACCGCCTTGATAAAAAACACACTGTTTTGTTTTCTTTGTTATTTTTAAATTAATACAAGTTTATGCGCTCAATTCGTTAATGGGGGGTTTTTGTCCGTTGTATTTGATTTGCGTTGGTTTGCTACTGAGTGTGTGTTTTGGCGCAGACCCCTTCACCAACTTCGAATTGGATATCTCTTACATCACTGCTTCTCCACTTGGTGTTCCTCACCAGGTGAAATAACTATTTCTTCCTTTTATTATTTTTTTTAATTTTCATCCGTTCACTGTGTGTTTGTGTGTGTGTTTTTTGTTTTCGTTTTGGTTATTGGTGAAGTTAAGATTTATCGAACTTGATTTTGTTTTTGATTTGTGCGGATTTGTGACTTCTCAATTTTGTAAATTTAATTTTGATTATGGATAAACTATAGCAGTAAATTATATACAAATTTTATTCTATTCCGTTTCGGTTTCGATGTCGATTACGATTTACATTAATTTGCTCTGTACATACAGTTCTCATATCTGGTGTCATTCCAAACTAGTATTTTTCTGTGTTCCTTGTTATTTGATAATTCATTTTTATTTATTTATTTAATATTTGCATCAAATTATAATTATACACAATTCACTTCCTTTTGCAGGTAATAGCAGTCAATGGGAAATTCCCATTGGCATTATGCGATAATTGATGAAGCACAGAGACTTAAAAACCCCTCAAGTGTATGTTTACCGATCATACATTTATCTAATTCTAGAATATGTTTGATGGCCTTATCTTAGTTGTCAATCCTCACACACATTAAAAAGTTGGTAGACATTTTGAACTGTGTAAGTCTTTTGCACAATGGTCAATGGTTAACTGCCATCTCACTATACCTATCTCTCTCACACTGTATTCTGACTATTAGGAATTTAGGATACATTAACTGGGAAATCATGTTTCCTCTCTAACAGATGCATGATTATATGATAATACAGTTCTAATCTGATGGCGAACATATGATATAGTAGCTGGGCTTGATTATATTTATGACTGTACATGACTATATATATGACTGTATATGACTATATATATATATATATATATATATATATATATATATGCATACAGTTCTATGCAGATTTTATTCTATTCCGTTTCAGTTTCGATTTCGATTTTGATTTCGATTTACATTAATTTGCTCTATACATACAATTCTCATATCTGGTGTTCGTTCAAACTAGTATTTTTCTTTGTTACTTGTTATCCGATAATTCATTTTTATTATTTATTTAATATTTGCATCAGATTATAATTATACACAATTCACTTCCTTTTGAAGGTAATAGCAGTCAATCGGAAATTCCCAGACCCTGTTCTCAATGTCACAACTAATTACAACGTCGTCGTAAACGTGAAGAACAAATTAGACGAAAATCTCCTTATGACATGGTGAACAATTATATCCCAATTTGGGTCAGGTGAATATACAGTTATATGTAGTAATATACAGTCATATATGTAGTCATGTATAGTCATGGATACATATAACTATACATGACTATAGAACTTGTAGTATACAGTCATATATGACTGTATATGTAGTGATTTACAGTCATATATGTAGTCATGTATAGTCATGGATACATATAACTATACATGACTATAGAACTTGTAGTATACTATAGTCATTTGTAGTCGATTACAATACAGTAAATTTATCAAAAAAAAACAAAAAACAAAATTCATGTCTTTTTGTATTTTTCATGTAATCAAACTCGTATGTTTCAATTTGCTTTTTAAATTGTATTTTTTTGTCACAGGTTTTGCTTTGTATAACATTATGAGATGCAAAGAATAAGATGCAGAGAAGTTGCCAGGTGAAGTTGCATTCATGCTACAGTACTCCAGACTTATGTTACCTATATAACTAAAGATAATTGTAGATAACTATAGTCGCGTGCAGTAACATATAGTTATATGTATGGTATGTGTTTTTTAATGTATAGTTATGCGTGTTCATGTTTTGAAGATTATATGCACGTGATTGTGCTTTTTTTTGGGTTAGTTGATTTCTAATATCAAGATTAAATTTCTGAATTTTGTTGTTGGTTAAGATTAATTTTGGGGAAAAAAGTCATTACATGAGTACACATAACTATACATGACTGGGTATACCATAGTTAGATAGAGTATACTATAGTCACGTATAGTCAATTTCAGTATAGTAAATTTATCAAAAAACCTAAAAGAACAAAAAAATAAAAATTAAAATAAAAATTAAAAATAAAATAAAAAATTTAAAAAATTTAAAAAAATTAAAAATTTAAAGAAATAAAAAAATTAAAAAAATTAAAAAAATTAAAAAATTAAAAAAAATACAAAAGAGGGTATGTATAAAAAATAATAATAAAAGAAATATTTATATTTTTTTATTTAAAAAAATCTATAAAAATGATAAATACAGGTCAAAAAATGCTAAATGCAGTTGGGCATTATGGTCAATGCTGGGGCGAAAGTACTGAATGCAGTTGGACGAAAATTGCACTTAAGGGCAAAAGAGTACTTTTGCCTCTCCAGGGGTATCTCAAAAGAAGATTTTAGGGGTGGACGGTGGACCTATGGTTGGAAATCGGACACGTGTACGCAACGGAAAACAAAAATTTTATGCGATTTAAACTAATTTAGAACACATAAACACATGCCCGATAATTGAAAACAATTAATTGCGTACCTTTGCGCTTCCAGCGAAAATCAAAACAACATACATGCTTAATTATTTAATCGAAATTAAATCAACTAGCATGCTCACGTTTAAATCAAATAACATGCTCGTAGTAAATAAATAATTTCATGTAGTCACATAAAATCATACAAGTTTCATACTAGAACGAACATGTATATTCAATTCAAACGTAACCGAATCTAACGACGATGGATTCGAAAGTTTACCTCTTGAAGCGTGAGGTAGGCGTAAGGGTGGAAATCGGACGGAATGGATCGGAAATGTCTTTTTCGGAAATTTTCCAATTTTTTTCGGAAGTTAGAAATAGGTTCCAAATTTCGTTACAAAAAAATCGGAATTTCAAAATCCATTCCAATTTCGGAATACCTCGGAATCGGCGGAATTTCGGAATTTTCGGAAATTGCATTAAGTCTTAATTTTTTGTTCCAAAATCGGAAATAATGGTAATTTTTTGTATTTTTTTTAATTTTTTCGTAATTTTCCGGCAAAAGGCAAGTATCCAAAGCAAAGGTCAATAAGATGAAATGTAAACACTTGTAAAAACAACATAATAGGTTTTTCAAAGCAACCATAGTTCTTGCAAATTTTCCAAAAAAAAAGAAAAAGTAAACATAGTTCTTGCAAAACATGAATAGAAAAACAATTCAAAAATACAATATATATATATATATATATATATATATATATATATATATATATATATATATATATATATTTCGGAAATACAATCGGATCGGAAATCGGAATTTCCAATAATTTTATATGTAATTCCAATTTCGTTCAAAAAATAATCGGAAAAATGGAAAATCGGAATATCGAAAATCGGAATGAAAAAAAGTGTTCCAAATTCGGATATTTTCGGATCGGAATTGGCGGAATTCGGAAATTCCGTTCCAATTTCCACCCCTAGGTAGGCGCACTAAGCAAAGCTAGATTCCCACGGAAACCAATCCGTGCAATCCGGGGAAGCAACGGCGATGCAGCAATGGTGAAGATCCGAGCTACGGCGGCGCATGTGATTCACGCGCTGTCTTTGGGCGGCGCATGGAGGCGCGTGCGTCGTCGGCTCGGTGGCGCGTGCGTCGTCGGCTCGGTGGCTGCTCCTCGATTCTTCGATCTTCGATCTTCCTCCTCTCGGATTTCACCTCGTATACTTCGATCTACTAAAACGTGGCACTAGATACGAAGTAATTAGAATAAACCGGAAAGAATAAAAGCAAAAAAGATCTACCAAAAGAATGGGCCAACGGATGGCCGATTCCGGCGAGATGGTGGCGACGGCGGCGGTGGTGGCCGCGGTTGAGATCGGCCGAGAGAGGTGAGAGCGGCTAGGGTTTAGATCGTGTATTGTGTTATGTGCAAGACCTATAAATCAAGTATTTATAGTGTCTTGCATAAAACCCTAACGGCTTAAGTTGGACCGGGCCCAACAACTTAAGTTCGTTTGTTCTTTTACTTGCTCATCTCTCTCAATTCGAAGATCGGAAAATTGTAACATTTACATTTTCGGAATCACTATAATGTCCTCGTCATTACGAGTGCCAACTCTCGATTTCCAACTTTTCAAAAGTGGAAACCCTAATTCAGTGCACTTTCTCAATTTGGAAACTTACCGATTTAGAAAGTCCACTAAGATGTTCGCCTATTCTTTTCCTTTTCTTATTCTCATTCATAATTCCAAATTACGAAGGTTGGACCCAATCATATTGACTTCCAATCATGCAAAGATAAACCATTTTTACCTTTGACCGTTTATTCAAAGATCTCATGTGCACGAGCAGTGTGACCCTCGATGGTTCAGGTGTAAGCTAGCCCTGGGCCCACAACCCTTTGTGGTCAAAACTCGTCCCTTAGAGTTACGATTAAGATGAAGCTCGTTTCACCTTAATCACCCAACGAATCAAGATTGGCGTCTAGCAACTACGCGTCATGATTCCCTAGATACAAATGAAGTGCCTGCAAGAACCTTCAGATATAGTTAGCGTACAGTACGATCCCTTCGATTCATATGGCCCGATTGAACTAGAGGATATTGTTCATCAAGACCTCTTTATTTGTTCAATGAGGGTGCAATCGTTCTAAGTGTTGTAATCGTTACGTGCATGACTTAGATAATCGAATTCTCTAATCATCACTTAGTCAGCTCTGGCCATAGACTTAAAGATATTACAAACTGTAAGAACACACATGACATCCAAGACTATTCTAGCGATTGAATCCCCGACTACAATGCACAGACCTCCCACTAGTTTTTGGACTGCACGAACATTGGCCCTTGGGATGGTCCTCGGTGGAACTTAGGGACAGGTCACGATACAGCTGGTCGTCTGGTGAAGTCACGGTGATGTCTAGGTCATAAGGACTAATGGTGTACAACTATACCATAGATATCTCTACTCGATTATTGGGAACCACTTAGAGATTTCTAGGGCGAGGGAGTTCAGTGAACTCGTCAACTTACGAGCACCCGCTTATGCATGCCGATATCACAATACCGTTTACTGATGAGATGCAGTACACATACACTAAGTGCTAGTCTTTTAATGGGGAAGGCCGATATCCTCATTGGTGGCGTAACCCTTCGACTAAGGACACGTTTAACAGTTATAATACTTAAGTAAATATCTCACGATCCTAACGATCAAGTACTAGTACTTTTAATAACTGTAAGGACTATATCCATGCTTGTGACAAAGGGACAAAGATATAGAATGCCAAGATGTTTTATCATTAATAGGAAAAAAAAGGTTCGTTTATTACCGTAATAAATACGAAAGACCACAGCCACATGTTGTCTTGTTGGTCACCTACTCTAACAATCTCCCACTTGACCTAAAGCCAACTACCCATGAATCTCAATCCCATCGACTCTCGATGTTTCTCGTGGACCGGTCTCGGTAAAGGCTTCGTGAAGGGGTCTACAACGTTCTCTTCTGAGGTGACTCGTTCTACCTTAACTTCACCTCTATCAATGATCTCTCAGATCACACGATACTTTCTCATAATATGCTTCGACTTCTGATGAGATTGCGGCTCCTTAGCTTGCGCCACGGCTCCGGTGTTATCACAGTACAACGGGACTGGATCACTAGCATCAGGAATGACACCCAACTCTTGGATGAACTTCCTTATCCAAGTCCCTTCTTTTGCAGCTTCAGACGCTGCAGTGTATTCTGTTCGGTAGTGGAATCAGCCGTCGTGCTTTGCTTGGAACTCTTCCAACACACGGCACCACCATTAAGCGTGAATATAAATCTCGAGTTCGACTTTGAGTCGTGCACATCCGATTGAAAACTAGAGTCGGTGAAGCCCTCTAATTTCAACTCGGCACCCCCATAGACCAAAACTATATCCTTAGTTCTTCGTAAGTACTTGAGGATATCTTTCACGGCCTTCCAGTGAGCCGGGCCGAGGTTAGACTGATATCGGCTTGTGACACTCACAGCATACGCAATATCGGGTTGCGTACATAGCATGCCATACATTATGCTTCCTATGATAGAAGCATAAGGTGACCTTTTCATCTCCTCGATTTCACTAGGTGATTGCGGACACATAGATTTTGAGAGACGAACCCCATGGGACATTGGCAAGAATTCTTTCTCCGATTCTTCAATGCTAAATCGTTTCATAACGGTGTCTATGTACATGCTTTGGGATAATCCAAACATCTTCCTTGCTCTATCTCTATAGATGCGTATTCCTAATACATAAGATGCTTCTCCCAAATCCTTCATTGAGAAACGTGTGGACAACCATGCTCTCGTTTGTTGCAACATTCCTACGTCATTCCCAATTAGCAGAATGTCATCAACGTAAAGCACTAAAAATACTACTGCCCTCCTACTAACCTTCTTGTATACACAAGGTTCCTCCGGATTCTTCTCAAAATCAAACTCTTTGATAGTTGAGTCGAACCTAATGTTCCAACTACGGGATGCTTGTTTCAATCCATAAATGGATCGTTGGAGCTTGCAAACCTTTTCCTCACTTCCAGAAGATATGAAGCCTTCCGACTGCGCCATGTAAATTTCTTCCTCAATATCTCCATTAATGAAGGCGGTCTTCAAATCCATTTGCCATATCTCGTAGTCGTACCACGCAGCTATGGCCAGCAAAATCCTAATGGACTTCAGCATCGCGACTGGCGAAAAGGTTTCCTCATAGTCAACACCTTGCCTTTAAGTATATCCTTTCGCTACCAATCTAGCTCTATAGGTCGATACCTTTCCATCCACTCTAATTTTCTTCTTATAGATCCACTTGCAGCCTATGGGAACAATTCCCTTAGGTGGATCTACCAAAGCCTGAA